AAAAAAAAAAAATTCTCAAAGTTGATGTACAGAGGTTATTTCAAATGGTAATTTTTCTTTTAGAATCTCCCTAAAAAGGCCACCTTTGATGTTTCTTAGAGTTTTCTAATCTGCTTTTGGTTGAGGTCATACCATTCTTCAATAATTACTGAAGGTTTATGTTGTCTTGTCTTCCTAGTTCTATTCTGCACTGATATTTTGAAGTTGGTTTATGTAACGTTTGACATAAAGGAGTGACTAAATGGTATCTTAATTCTCAAGAGGTAGATTCCTGAACATACACTAAAGGACCTGTAAGATGAAATCAGAGTGGAAAATTTTCAAAATGTTTCAAAAACAAAGTCAATCCTGCAGACGTCCCCTTCACTGCTCATATCACCCAGAATAACAAAATGTCCCGAGACTTGAGTTTTTGGCATATGATTGTCAGTGTTACCTTAATTATCTCATAATTTAGATAATGCCTTTTGCTAAAATTTCACATCTAAAGAATGGCTTAAGTTTTAAAATCTGGTAACAGTTTGAAGTAGAATGCTGGGAACTACAGAAAATTGCACAGGCATTTGGAATTTATATTATCTTCTTAGATTGCATTTGTCAAGCTTTGGCAGCATTTCTTTTAAATGTGATGACCCCCAATTTGCCAAACCGTCAGAAGTCAGTGAAGCAAAGAATTGAAGGTAAAATGTTGATTCAAAGATTGTCTCCCCCAAATCCCTCATCCCTGTCTCTGAAATGGAACTTTGGAAGGCATTTATACAGAAGATTGGTCCAACAGCCTTTATATTTGCATAGACGTTTACTTGCATTCCTAGACTTGGTTTTATGGAAAAAGAAAACTTTTATTTCTATTACAATGTATTGCATCTGTCTGGTTTTGCTGGCAAATTAAGATGGTCCTGGTCCCTCAGGATGCTTTTTCCGTTAATAAATGTCCTATGTAAATAAAAAAAAAAAAAAAAGAAAGAAAATTATGCCTAGAAAATTTTCTTTGTTTCCTTCTTCCTTTTTTTGATTTTTCGTGAGGCCCACTCTCACTCTGTTGCCAGGCTAGAGTGTCATAACATCAGCCTAGCACACAGCAACATCCAACTCTTGCATTGAAAGGATCCTCCTACCTCAGCCTCTGGAGCAGCTGAAACTAAAGACAAGGGCCTCAACACTTGACAACCTTTATATTTTAGTAAAAACATGGTGTGTGATCAGGGCAGAGGTTATCTTGCTGTTTCTCAGCCTTGTCTCCAACCCCTGAGCTCAGGGGATAAGCCTACCTTGGTATCCACCTACCTTGGTCTCCCAGAGCAACCACATATTTTAGTCATGCATTGCAAAAGTCATTGAGCTCTGTATGAGAAATGAACTTATCAGGGGCTTTGAGGAGTTTCCAATCCTCAGGCCCCCATGACACATAGGGATTATATCAGGACTGTTTTGGATATCCGTGGTGGAAGATATCCCCACAAATGTTTACACATCTCTTTTTTGCTTATCAGATTTCCTTAGTGATTGTGTTGAACTTGTGGCCAAACATAATTTTTCTACTTCTTATGTGCCCAAGAAGCCAAACATTTGGAGACACCTGGCCTGGAGTTGAGGAATGTTGGAACTTTCCAGAAAGATTGATATTTCCAATGATTCTCATAAATATCTGCAGCTATGGAGTACACTACTAGACACAGTGCCTAACCAGATGTTGAGCGATGACCTTCAGTAGGAGACCTACCTTTCAAAACTAGCCTAATCTAGAGAAAGAAATCAAACATCACAAAAAGTAGAACTGAGTAGGCTCGGTGCCTATGGCTCAAAGAGCTAAGATGCCAGCCACATACACATAAGGTGGCAGGTTCAAATCCAGCCCGGGCCTTCAATGATGGCTGCAACCAAAAAATAGCTGGGCATTGTGGCAGGCACCTGTGGTCCCAGCTACTTGGGAGGCTGAGGCAGAAGACTAGATTGAACCCAGGAGTTGAGGGTTGCTGTGAGCTGTGATGCCACAGTACTCTACCCAGGGGGGCAGCCTGAGACTCTGTCTCAAAAAAAAAAAAAAAAGGAAAAGTAGAACTGAGTATTGTGTGACATACCTTTCAGGTCTGTGAAATCACTGTCTGATCTGTGGGCTCAGGTTCTTGGTCTATAACATCCCAAGACAGCACTAAGTATAAACCATACTCTTCCACTTGCTTAAAAATCCGTGATATGAAGTGGAAAGGAAGAGTTGCTGAATGCCTTTGCTGGATATACAAACAAACTTTTGGAAGAAGGAATTGAGCATAGAGATAAGAACCCCTTACTATTCTAACAGTTTGAACCCAACAACATACCCAGATAGCCACTACACATTCTTAGCAGAATAAGGTTAAGCTTAAAGATGGTAACCCAGGGCAACACCCATTGTGATGTCATCCACGGTGATAATGTTGTGACTTCATCCTGTAATGTTTTGGGATCTAGGCTTCTCATCAAAATACTAAGTGATCTTTCTGCTCACTTCAGATGGTATCCCTCAAGTGTTTTAACCAGGAAATTTCTTTTTCTTTTTTTGTTAGTTTTCTTTATGCTTTTATTTAATTTTCTTTTTTCTCATAAAGTCTCACTTTATCGCCCTGGGTAGAGTGCCATGGCCTCACAGCACACAGGAACTTTGGATTCCTTTGCTTAGGCGATTCTCTTGCCTTAGTCTCAAGAGTAGCTGGGACTACAGTCGCTGACACCAAGCCTGGCTATTTCTTCTTATTTTTGTTGCACTTTGTCCGGGACTGTGTTAAAATCTGCCACCCTTGCTATAAGGGACTGGTGCCCTACTCACTAAGCCACAATATCCCAAAGTTGAGATATTTTTCAAACTATGATTGGTTTCCAGCAGTG